TGTTCACCAGAGTGCCCCAAGGGATGACGAGGTCGAATGGTCACAAACTACTTCAAGATCGTTTCAGGCTGGACATAAGGAAGAATTTCTTTACTGTCCGAGCCCCCAAGGTCTGGAACAGCCTGCCACCGGAGGTGGTTCAAGCGCCTTCATTGAACACCTTCAAGATGAAACTGGATGCTTATCTTGCTGGGATCCTATGACCCCAGCTGACTTCCTGCCCTTTGGGCGGGGGGCTGGACTCGATGATCTTCCGAGGTCCCTTCCAGCCCTGATGTCTATGAAATCTATGAATTCCAATGTGTCGGAGCAGACTTGATTCGTTGTGTCTGCTAGAGTGTGGAAAGGACTGTGATCCAGCAGACTCTAGCGTCATGTGTATCAGTGTCCCCGCATTGAACAATGCTGGCGGGGCGCTTTAAAGCTCGTTTAATGAGCTTTAGTTCAAAGCACCCACCACCATTTTTCAGTGCAGGGACACTGATACCAGCAGTCAAGATGCTTTTAATTAGTGCAGCTCTCGGAGTTGCACTAATTAAAGCTCCCGTGCCCGCTGCCTTTTGGAGCATGTCTATAAATGCCCTTAGTTACGAGAACTTTAAATGTAAATTATTTTTAAGTTAATGTGCAGTAAAAGCTTTATCAAGGTGCCTATGAGTTTTCCACTGACTGTCCTATTTCAGAATCAGGTCCTGTTTTACTGTGTTGATGCAATTTAGGTACAACATTTAATTTGTAATTTGGTTATGTTGTAGTTTATTTGATAAAATGTATTCCACTGGAGTCCATGGGTACTCAAGTACCTTCTGGTAACAGATCCATAGTAACTAAAGCCTTTAACTCTGCCAACACCTAAACACAAAAGTAGCCTTACTCATGTTGTAAGTAACACTCATGCTTAATCATTGAAAGAGTGTGGGAGCTTCAACTACATTCCCATTACTGTTCAGATCAATCATTCTTCTCTGAAATTCACTATAAACTAGGTGTGTTTGCTATTAGCTAGAAAGCATTACATACTAAGAGGGATAAGGAGTGAGTTATTACCACACGGATGATTCAAATTAAAAAAACCTGAACTGACGACAGTATTTCAAACTGTGTAAATAGCTATAATATATTTAAAGTTTTATATCTCAGTTATAAACCTTAATGTGATTCTAAAACTTGGTGAACAAAGTCTCAAATCTTAAGTTATATCTTATCGTAACAAAATTACATACAAATACAAATCAATAGGGACATTAAATTAAAGAGGAAAAATGTGTGTTATGGTGCTTTTTCCTTCATTAATGTTATAAAATCTAAAATACAATAAAAAGTCAGTGTTATAGTTACTTGGGCAGACAAGTATCTTACATCATTTGGTGGTTTTTTTGTATAATGTTAACATACAGAAAATGATTTGAAAAGACAAATTATGATCGCTCCCTCTGAGCATTGCTTTCATGTGAGCCAATGAATTTAGAAAACCCTATTTATCATGTTTATAAATATATGTAAACAGGCTAAAAAAAGCCATTCTTGACTATTGCAACAAAATAGCAGATATCCAGTACATTGGAAGGTTCATAGGTCCCTTGTTCTGAACCATTTTACACTTGAGGCAGTCCTTGGTAGTCTTGAGGCACCCCTCAGAAAATGTCAGCTGTTTTTTATTATTTTTTTTCTTGTGAAGAACTCAGACCATAATAGGTCAGAAAGTTTTCAACACTGCAAAGTCCTAGTTGGGACTAGTTTGGGAAATCATTGGATTTTTCTAGTGAATGATGTTTTCGCACCTAACAATGCTAATATTGTGTGGCACCTTGTGACACCCTTCAAGGCATCCCAAGTTGCCATGGCACCCTGTCTGAGAATCATGAGATATATTTTGATATAATATACCTACCAATCCTGGAAAGAATCACTCCAGGCAGAGCTTTGTATCTGGGAAGATCACGTTAGAGGATTAAGATTGGAGAGGCCACATCTACATGAGAGACTGACTGCACAGTAGCCTGATACTACTGTGCAGTAGCATCTCGTGGCAAAAACTGTGACATGATGCTACTGCATATTCGTATTAAGCTACTGCGCAGTAGCATCACAAAAAATGCATTTGTTGGTGCTACTATGCAGCAATGACTGTGCAGTCAGCATCTCATGTAGACATGGCCAGACTAGTATTAAAGTCCTTGTAATCAATGTACAGTTTAACATGCCACCAAATGCATGCTCATATAAAATCTGTTGTCTCTATTCACAATATGTCTTTTCTCTCTTAAGAGTTTCTCCTTTTCATTTACAAATTCCTGTTAAATTTGGACTGGACCATTACTAAAATGGCAGTACAACACAACTAGAGTTATCAGCAG